CAATAAATTATTCTGGTGACATCAGTCTCATGGGCATCCTCTTAGATTTTCAGTTTTTAAAATTTTAGGATGAAAGATTTAAGTGTGAAATGAACGATGAATAGATGACCTTTGCGTCCCGTTGGCCCTGAGGTCTCTCGTCCTGAACGGCCAGGCAGCAGGGCTTCCCGTGTCCCTTTGGCAGTGTGAGGAGATGCGGGTTCGAGTCCCCATCTGCTGCTCGTAAACAGGGACCTCTTGGGAGGTCCTTGGTCTTTATGGGTATGAGTTTCCTCATCTAGAAGATGAGGGACTTTGATGAGCTGCAGTATTTTTTCCTGCTTCAAATTCAGGTTCCAGTAATTCTATCAGTGCCCATCCCACTAAATCTTTTTTTTTAATTTGAGGAAGTACTGGGGATTGAACCCAGGACCTCGTGCATGCTAAGCATGCACTCTACCACTTGAGCTATACCCTCCCTGCCATTTCACTAAATGTTATGATGTCAAAAATGGAGGGCAAAAGTCCTGTTTTGGGGCATCCAAGTCGAAATGCACCCTCTCTCAATGAGTTGAGAGAGTTTGACATGTTTGGATTTTGTAATTTTCTTCTGGGTCAGCCAAGTATTCCTTTTGAGACAAGACAAAGTGTAAAGTCAGAAGCAACAGCCAGGATGGAAGGCAGAGAGAGCAGGAGGGATGGGGAGCCTGAGGCCGGCTGGTTTAGGGGTGGGAGGTGTCCTGTCCTCTGTGCCTCCCTGCCTGGCCACCGTCCTCCACTCATGGTGTGAGACTGCATCCTCGGGGTCTTGGACCACCTTGGCTAAGTTGCTTAGGGGCTTTTGGAGGGCAGTGCCTGCAGGGGAGTTTAAAGCCTCCAATGAGGAGCTTGGGAAGACATGGGTGCCCTGATGCTGGCCATCAACCCCATGAATTCATCCACAGAAGAGACTTGAGGAGTGTGCGGGCAGTGTGGCAGATGGGGGTACTTCCCCCTCTCTCCTTGGTAAGACTCCTCTTTGGTTGAAAAAAGGAGGCAGATGCAGCCTATAGTCATCAGGGTGGCCTGAGGTGGTCCCTGAACCGGATGCCAGGACAATTGGGCTCCAGTCTCAGCCTCTTCACTTGAGAACTGGATGATTCTGAGCAGCTCTCTTGCTTCTTCCTCTGAAAGGGTGATAAAAACCTCCCCCCACCCAGTCTCCTAGGTGGCCATAAGTAGTAGTCAGTGGGATCACTGTGAAAGTACGTTTAGGTCTTAACATGTGCAGGGTTGTTATTATCAACTCAGTTATGGTGGCCCTGTGACTGCCATGTGCCTTATGAAACGGTAGCGCAATGGACTTGGAAGGTGACCTGCCTGTCCCAAGGTGCCTCCTTCCCCAACAGACTCACCAGCACGATGCTGATGTAGCAGTGACACTCTCACCTCCCAAACAGCCCTACCCCCCAGTTACGACATGGATCTGGGGCTAGAAGACCTCTGGGTGTTGCTCATTGGGGTGACATTGGCACCACAGCACGTGAGCTCCCATCTCTATTTGCTGCCATTAGAGAGGTCAAGGGGAAGCCTCACAACAGGCTTGTTACGAAAAGGAGGGTTTGAGGATATGCCCACCGTTGGGATCACAGAATCTGGGGAGGCAGAGGGCCCAGGGAAGCCTGTGGGTAGATAAGCATGAGCACCCAGGACCTGAGGGCAGCAGCCACCGCCAGCGTCCTAGTTATCCCAGCTCTCAAAGCTCAGCTGGTGTCGGCGTCCTTGGCTGTGTGCTTGAGTGCCGCCCAGAGTCTCAGGCACGCACTTGGACACTTGGCATCTCTTGCCCAGGAAAGGGTGGGTTTCAGTAGACCATCTGTTGCCCAACAGATGGGGGTTCTGATGTGCTTGGGGCCAGAGGGCTACGGTTGTCAGAGCAGGCGCAGGACCCCAGAAGTTATGATTCTGGGGAAGTGGCTATGATGGCTGAAAAGACCAGGCTACTCATGAACTTGTTCCCTTTCTTTCCTCCACTCTCCTGGGGCCCGTGAGCCATAACTCTGCTCCTCAGAGCCCCCACCCCTGCAAAGACCCCCCTTCTTCTGCCCCGCCCCACCCCCACACTCTCCCAGGGGGCCCCTTGGACCCTGCTTGCTCTTGTTCTCCCCCTCCTCTCTTTGCCAGGCCATCTGCATCTCTGTAAATCTTTTAGTCCAGAGCCTTGGCAAGTTCCTGGTGTGGCCGGCGGCACAGACACTGACCGGCTGCACGTGGGTGATGGTTGGAGGGAGGGTTCTGCAGTCTGGGAGCAGAACACTAAAGAGTGAAAGCAGGTTATTTTAAGTTCTCGCATCTCCTGCTTTTCCCATTGTTCTTTCCTTGCGGGCGACTTCCTCCTATTGTCCCTGCCCAGCTCCTCAACTGCCTGAGTGTTTCCCAAATGTTTTTTCTGGATGCACCATGTACCCTTTTGTGTTTTCAGCAACTGCCGACCCTTTACGTGCACGCTCTATTTCTGCTGTTAAAATAATCCCTGTGAAGACAATGAAAAACTCTGCAGGCCTAGTACTCCCTCCAGGTATCTCTCCTTGGGTTGCTTCTTTCTTTTGACTGTTAGCAGATCATGCATGGTTTCCCTTCTTTCCTTCTAACAAAGACTTGGAGGATTAATCCTTGCATGTTTAGGAGCCATTCCCTCTCACCTCCTCTAGTTGATTTCCTTTCTTCGTGTGTGTGTGTGTGTGTGTGTGTGTGTGTGTGTGTGTGTGTACACGTACGTGTTTCTGTGAGCTGGCAGGTGCCTTGCCCCTCCCCTCTTTTGGAGAAGGTCAGCCCAGAGGCTGAATGTTAACTCTGCTGTAGTTCTGAGCCACATGGACTTCTTAAGTTCTTCCTAGAAGTTCCAGATCCCAGTACTTTATTCAAAAGTCAGCTCTCCCCAGGAACTAATGTGGACACATGGGGAATCTCTAAATTGGACTTGAACTTGAAGCAGCTGCCTTAGATGCCAAACCTGGCTGCACCTCTGTGATGCTCTGAGGGCCGTTTCCCTGAACACTCCCTCCCCCGCCCCCAGCCTCACCTGCGGTCGCGTCCTGCCTCCTCTCTCCAAGGCGAGGGTGCAGTGCAGATGCCTGGTGGCCTAGCTGACTCTTCATCCCAGTGGCGGGGCTTTCAGGAGTTGGGCTAATCCGGCTGTGCGTCTGGGACCCTGGGGATGGGCTGAATTTGCCTCTTACCCTTTTGAAAAGACCATGAATCAGTTTTCCCAGTAGTTCTGTGGCATCAGTCACGGATCCTCTCCATAGGGTTGGACGAGTCTGATGCTCTCCTGGGCTGCGGCCCGCTCTCCCGTACATTGTGTTCTTGTGCTTCGCTTTCAGTGCGAGAGGCGCTGATGCGGCAGATCTGTCCTCTGGAGCTGATGACCGTTCTGTCTGAGCTGTCCGAAAGGGGCTGCCGGAGTGGAAAGGAGGCGCAAGGGGGCTTTGCTTCTCTCAGCTCTGACACAGGAGGGGGGAGGAGTTGGCATCTGAGCCCACATCCTGCCCAATGCCCACCTGAAACTTTACCTTTCATCCCAGTTGTGACAGTTTTAGGTCCGAGATCCAGGCTGTGCTGTGAGCACCTTGGACACATGAACTGAGCTGCACAGAAAGCAGCATTCAGCACGTGTGGCTCCTAGAACTGTGTGCTCTGCGTGGGTTTCTTGCCTCCCTGTTACTGATTTTCCCGGAGGATGAACATCCAGATCTTTCGAAGCCTATTTTGAAACGCTTCTCAGTGCAATTCTGAAAGAGGACCTGGGTCTGTCATTAGGCCACTGTGAACTGTAGGAGAGGTCAGGACCCAGGGAAGGCTCAGCTGGAAGTGCAGCAAACTCTGTTCGTTGAAGAATTTTGAGTTTCTGGTCATTTTCTTTGGTGTGAATTTTCTCCATTAAGTTTGGAATGTGGCTCCATGGTTCGCCCGTGATCTTTCTCCCCAGGCAGCACATCCCTGTCTCACCACCTCAGGGAGCTTGACTTGCTGATACAAGAAGATTGTCTTCTGCTTTTTCCGTTGGAGAACTGCACGGGGCAGTGATTCTCTGCAGAACCACCACCTCGTCCCCTGCATTGCCAACTTGCTGCTTTATAAGAAGGATGGTGTGGGAGCTTGAAATCTTCCATAAATTCTTTCTTGAACTATGCCTTACTAATTGGTCAGAAGTCTGCTCACCAACCTAAAACTTCATTTAATACAAGGAATCAACCGCTTTCATCTAGAAACGTTTACAGCTGACATTGTCACTCATACATTGACTCAGAACTCACTGTTGCCTCCATTTTCTCCTAACCTCATGTTGGGTAGTAAACATCCGCCAATGGGATTTGTCCCTCTCCACCGCCCACAAATTAGCCGTCATTGACCACAAGACCTTGCCTGTCTGTGACCAGGTTCCCCTCATTCCCCAGCTGTAACAAGTTGCTGGCTGGCTGTTGCTTTAATCCCCCGAGAGCCTTGGATTCACTCTTCTCTTCTGGGTCTTTCCTTTTCAGACACGGATCCTACAAAAATCTGCACTGGGAAAGGAGCGGTGACTCTCCGGGCCTCGTCCTCCTATAGGGAAATGCCGAGCGGAAGCCCTGTGAGCCCTCGAGAAACCCCACAGCATGCGGGGACACCAGGTGCGCTGCCCGGAGACTGGCGAGGGGCTCAGAACCACGTGGGAAGGGTGGGAGGTCGTCAGCCACCTCCCGATTCTCCCAGGGGCCCTAGGGACCATCCTTTCCTTGTCCATCTGCAGCAGGTGGTGATCAGTGCCCTAAACTGACAGGTACTCACTTGCCTCAGGCAAAGGCACATAAGTGCCCACTTTATTTTAGCATGTTACTGAACATATGAGCAGAGCCCCCATTAAAAAGCCGGTGACTCTGCAGCCTGCATTCGGGAGGACAGAGATTTGGCACCCAGGGACAGCGTGGTGAGATGGGCTCAAGGTTAGGCTTCTCTGAGCCCATCCCTACATCTGGGAGCTGGGCTGTGACCATCCAGGCGGGACTGGGGAAGAGCCCAGGGAGACTGAGATGGGCAGGTGGCCGAATGGCCTCGGCTCCCAGGAGAGCAGGGAGGCCACCTAGCAGCTGAGGGAGCAGGATCAGGAGAGCATGTCTAAGGCCAGTGCCAACACGGAGGGAACAGAGACAAAAGAAGCTCACCTCCCTACCCCAGTCCATCATGCAGTGCCCAGAGTATGGTGTTGAGGTTGAGACCTGGGTCTTTGGAACCTGATAGATTGGGTTCATGGATTCATGTCCTGCTCCGCTACCTGGTGGCTGTGCAACCTTGGATGAGGTAACTGCTCTCCCTCAACCCTAGTGAACCCATCTGCAGAATGGGGTTGATAATTGTACCTGCCTCATAGCATCATCATGAGGATGAAGTATGTAGGTGTCCTGCACCACCCCTGGTGGTGTGGAATGAGCTGTTAGTCGTTAGCTGCTGTTAGTAGGTTAAGACTGCAGTTGTTTCAGACTTTCTGGAGAGGACTTTCCATAGCCCAAGAGTTCTGGGACTTGAGAAGAGTAGACTTCGAGGTTTCATAGGCACAGTCAGCATGGGGTGGGGCAGCCCCTTCCCACCCTGTAGGGCAGTGGTTCTCATGCTTCAGCTGCATCAGAATCACCTGGAATAAAAGGACAGGTTCCCCGGCCCCAGCCTGGAGTTTTAGAATTTGTGATTCCCACCTGTACGTCAGAGGTGGGGTCCGAGATTTTGTGTTTCTGACAAGTTCCCAAGGAGCACGTTTGAAAGCTACTGCTGTAGGGGATGGGAGTTTCCTCCCGTCTTGAAGAAGGAAATGAAGAGAGAAAAAGAATTGCAGTGATGGCCACTCCCATGGGACCAGAGCGGAAAGCAAGCGGGAAAACCCCTTTGGTACAGTGGAGGAGGGGGTGTTGTGGTAAGACTGAATTATGGAGGATGCAGATGGTCAGGGCCCAGCATCCTGGACACTTTCTTTCTGTCCCAGCCACCTATAACAGGTACCAAGGCAGGTGTCTAGGAACGAGGCCAGGCTTGGGTTGAACACCAGCCCTGTTCTGGTAACATCGGTCCCTGTGGAGGGCTCCTTTTCCCCTAGGCTCAGGGAAGGCATGGGTGGCCTCCAGCACTCCAGGTTCAATGGAGCTGCTTGGCTCTACTCCTGAGCCCACACCTGACTCCTGCCCCACTACACTCTCATCTCCAGGAAAGGTGGGGCCAAGGAGTGGAGATCAAGTAATTTCTTCTTAAGATTAGCCTAATCCAGCCTCTCCGGGCCTAACTGAGAAGATGCAAGCTGGAGGACCTCTGGGGAAGAGAGAATTCTAAGGGATACTTTAAAGAGAAAGACTGAAACGAAAAATAAATAAAATAAAATTAAATTAAAATTAAGTAAAATAAAATAAAATAATAAAATAAATAAAATAAAATAATAAAATAAATAAAATAAAATAATAAAATAATAAAATAAAATAAAATAAAATAATAACCAACAGCCTGATGGCCCAGAAAAATGACCTATCAACCGATCAACCATCTGGCCCTTCTAACTGTTGAATGGGAGTGGTGAATGGAGGAGAGGGAGCCTTGAGCTCCCCCTGGTGGTTACAGTGTGGCACTACCATAGGACCCCAGCGTTGTTCTTTGCCTTGCCGTCTGTAGGCTTGCACTCCAGCAGTGTGCAGTGATTTGAGCACTTTAGGAAGCTCTCTCTAACCTCCAAATATTTCTGTATCTTATAAATTTATAGTAGCTAATTTAGATGAAAAAAGATCTTGTTTTAAAATGCATACTCTGAAGAATCAGAGGGTAGCTATCAGTTATTCATACCTTACAGTAAATTAATCTTTGTAGACTAGTTTCCCCCTGGTAAATGAGACCATTGAGTCCACATCAGCAGACATTCATTCTGCATCATCTAGGTGCCAGGCATCACTGGGAGTCACTGGGAATTGTGATGAGGGTGGAGGAAGAGGGAGAAAAATTCTGAGTGTATTCCTTGAGAGCAGAAGGCAGTTTGTCCAGCAGGCAGGTCAGGTGTGGGCCCCTAGTCCGCTGCCATGCTTTCTGACGTGGATATGTCCCACCTTTGAAGCACATATGAAGTATGAGGGACTTGGGCGAGATGGTTTCCAAGCCTTTCTAGTTCCAAAATGCTCTGTGAACTTGGCATACAAGTTTGGGAATGAACTGAACACAAACAGAATCCTGTTCACTGGGGACAGATTCAGGATTGTACATTAGGGCAGTTTGGGTGGAAGGAACAAGCAGGGTTTGAGTAGAGGGAAAAAGAACACACCAATTAAGCGTACAGCTGGAATGAGTTAACCATGGAGGTGAGGTTTAGAGAGGAAGCGACTCCAGAGGTGAGACATTCAGGACTGGGGGTCTTACCCTCCTGGTCGCATCCTGCTGGCTTTTAACTATGGCGGGTCCATGTGTCTCCCCAGCCCTCCTCTCATCCCAGCCTACTTCCTCAATCTGAGCCTCTGGCCCAACATAACAGCCTGCTGGCCCCCATCACTCTCAAGTCTTGTCCTGGGGCCTTGACCAGCCTCATGAAAACAGTTTTTAATGTATTTACAAGCAGCCATGCCAACCTTGACCAAGAGCCCAGGTGTGAGGCAGGGAACGCCACTTGGCTCTTGTCAAAGATTGGGCATGCCTCCTGTCACCAGTGTCTTCACAGACAGTTCATGTCCAGTAGCGTCCAGCTCCCTCCTGTATCACCAGAGCCAGCGCCTGTCCCCAGCTGCTCAGTCTCCCTCCTCTCTGCCTTGCTTCCTGGCTTTACCACCTTCTTCCATCCCTGCAGGTCTCCAAGTTGCTAATCATTTGCCTGGACTGCCCAGCACCTGTGTCCTGCCCAGCACCTGTGTCCTGATTTCTTTCCTTATGTGGCCCCCTAACACCCACATTTCAGAGGTGTCCCCTATTTCCGGTCCTTTCTTCAGCTCCCTCATCCTGTGAGAGGTTGTCTGGTTCTTGAGTCACACAGTCCTCCATCAAGGCTCAGCTCTGCCACTTACTATCTTTATGATGTGGGCAGATTACTCAGCCTTGGAGAGCTCCAGTTTCCCCATCTGTCAGATGGAGATGATCTCAGTAGAGTCGTTGGGATTCAGTAGACTCTTTCACATCAGGATTTAGCACAGTCGGGCATGCAGAAGGAGCTCTTTAATGGTAACCATTCTAGTTACTGCAGAGCAGGAGGCCAGTTAAGGATTTGCAGTAATTTCTGTTAGAGGCTATAAGTGTGGGGGCAGTGAGAATGGAGAGGAGAGGGGCAGGTGAGAAATGCGTCTGGAAGGGTGAAATGGCAGGGCCGGTGCAGTGTTCCGGACACAGAGAGGTATGACTGTGTTGACCAGGAGGCGCCTTCCCCGGTTGACCAGGAGAACAAATGTGGCACTCATGGAGATGAGGGATTTACGAAGGGAGTTGAAAAATATGTTGAATTCCGTTTCTTGATGT